CTGCAGCCGGGACCCCGGCTGGCAAGGGGCAGGCAGCCAGAACCCCAGACCAGCAGCGGGCTGAGCAGGGCCAGTGGCCAGGACCCCAAACCAGCAGCAGGCTGAGCCTATCAGAGGCTCGTTCACCTGCACATCCACCAATGTGATATATGCCATCATGTCCCAGCAATGCCCCTCTGCCATGTACATTGGTCAAACTGGACAGTCTCTACGTAAAAGAATAAATGGACACAAATCAGATGTCAAGAATTATAACATTCATAAACCAGTCGGAGAACACTTCAATCTCTCTGGTCACGCAATCACAGACATGAAGGTCGCTATCTTACAACAAAAAAAACTTCAAATCCAGACTCCAGCGAGAAACTGCTGAATTGGAATTCATTTGCAAATTGGATACTATTAATTTAGGCTTAAATAGAGACTGGGAGTGGCTTAGTCATTATGCAAGGTAGCCTATTTCCCCTTGTTTTTTTCTACCCCCCCCCCCCGACGTTCTGGTTAAACTTGGATTTATGCTGGAAATGGCCCACCTTGATTATCATGCACATTGTAAGGAGAGTGGTCAGTTTGGATGAGCTATTGCCAGCAGGAGAGTGAGTTTGTGTGGGGGGGGGGTGGGTGAGAAAACCTGGATTTGTGCTGGAAATGGCCCACCTTGATTATCATGCACATTGGAGGGAGAGTGGTCACTTTGGATGAGCTATTACCAGCAGGAGAGTGAGTTTGTGTGTGTGTGTGGCCCAACTTGATGATCACTTTAGATAAGCTATTACCAGCAGGAGAGTGGGGTGGGAGGAGGTATTGTTTCATGGTCTCTGTGTATATAATGTCTTCTGCAGTTTCCACAGTATGCATCCGATGAAGTGAGCTGTAGCTCACGAAAGCTCATGCTCAAATAAATTGGTTAGTCTCTAAGGTGCCACAAGTACTCCTTTTCTTTTTGCGAAGACAGACTAACACGGCTGTTACTCTGAAACCAGTAATTAGAGAGAGATCTCAATTATAACCAAGCTTTACTGGTATTTGTGGATTGATTAGTGGTATAGTACATAACAGGGCAATGGAGTCACATGGGGGTGAATCAATATATCTGTTTTTGAGAAGGTTTAACGAACAAAGTGATACAAATCCTAGGAGCTCTGAAGCCCTGGGGATGGCACTGGTTGGGCAGAGCTGGTCCAAGCACCACGGCAAAGCCCATGAGACATCAGGAGGCCACTCGTCTGGTTTGAAGCTGCGTGGTCCCAGTTTGGTGGAGCCCTATCCCTGTCTGGCAGGGACCCAGCACTGGACGTGGCTTTGTCCGGTGAAAAAGAGAGAGGAGGAGACCGAGGATGCAGGGAGACACCAGTGGGGGCGGGGGTAGGGGTTTGGGCGGCACTTCCATGCAGAATGATGCCGGTGGGGGTGCGCTGACAAAGGTAGTGGTGGGCCCACGCAGGCTGACCGATTCAGGTGTGGGAGGGCCCATGCAGGCAGGCGTGGAGATGTCCTGTGTTCTGGGGATGCCTCAGTGGCCCCCCTAATTAGACAGGCAGATTTGTATAAAGAACGGTTGGGGTTTGCCCCAGTGCTGCCCTAAACCCTTTCTGTGGCAATGCCCCCTGGGGAGGTCCCCACGGTCCCATTGCCTGGTAAAGATCCCGGAAGCAGTGGATTCTGGGAGATTTCAAAAGGCTGCCTGGTGGGACTAGTGGAACCATTTAGGCTGATCCTTGCCCACGTACACAACAGAATAGGTCAGACTGGCACCGGTCAGCTCCAGCCCGGGGTTAGTTTGGCTACAAGCCAATCTAATCCCAGTGGGACTTGGCATGGACCTGAGCTGTGTGGAGCCATTTTGTGTGTGGACTGAAGGTGCTCGGGGTCCCACACAGTGTTTAGCCCGCTGATCTCCTCTAGTGCAGGCCGGCAGCAGCTGAATTTAACCCTTCCTGGAGGAACACAGGAGTTCAAAATCCCAGTGGGAAACCTGCTTTCCCTGCTGGGCCTGGGGCTTTTGTCAAGGAATTTTTTCCTGCTACTGTCCGCACTTCATCACTGCTCAGTGCTGCTGGGGCATGAGGAGGCAGCATATCCTAGTGGTTAGGGCACTGGACTTAGTCTTGGAAAAATGGGGGTTTATACCCAGCTCTGACACTGACCTACTGAGTGACCTTGGACAAATCACTTCCCCTCTTTGTGCCTTAGGGTATGTCTACACTACGGAATAAGGTCGAATTTATAGAAGTCGTTCTTTTAGAAATCGGTTTTATATATTCGAGTGTGTGTGAAAATGCTCTAAGTGCACAGAAAATGCTCTAAGTGCATTAAGTGCATTAACTCGGCAGAGTGCTTCCACAGTACCGAGGCTAGAGTCGACTTCCGGAGCGTTGCACTGTGGGTAGCTATCCCACAGTTCCCGCAGTCTCCGCTGCCCATTGGAATTCTGAGTTGAGATCCCAATGCCTGATGGGGCTAAAACATTGTCGCGGGTGGTTCTGGGTACATATCGTCAGGCCCCCCTTCCCTCCCTCCCTCCGTGAAAGCAAGGGCAGACAATCGTTTCGCACCTTTTTTCCTGAGTTACCTGTGCAGACGCCATACCACTGCAAGCATGGAGCCCGCTCAGGTAACCGTCACCCTATGTCTCCTGGGTGCTGGCAGACGCGGTACGGCATTGCTACACAGTAGCAGCAACCCATTGCCTTCTGGCAGCAGATGGTGCAATACGACTGGTAGCCGTCCTCACTGTGTCCGAGGTGCTCCTGGCCACGTCGGCTGGGAGCGCCTGGGCAGACATGGGCGCAGGGACTAAATTTGGAGTGACTTGACCTTCTCTTTAGTCCTGCAGTCAGTCCTATTGAACCGTCTTATGGTGAGCAGGCAGGCGATACGGATTGCTAGCAGTCGTATTGTACCATCTTCTGCGGGGCAGCCAAGAGATGAAGATGGCTAGCAGTGGTATTGTACCATCTTCTGCCGGGCAGGCAAGAGATGAGGATGGCTAGCAGTCGTATTGCACCATCTTCTGCCGAGCAGCCATGAGATGTGGATGGCTTGCAGTCCTTCTGCACCATCTGCTGCCAGCCAAAGATGTAAAAGATATGTGGAGTGGATCAAAACAAGAAATAGACCAGATTTGTTTTGTACTCATTTGCCTCCTCCCCCGTCTAGGGGACTCATTCCTCTAGGTCACACTGTAGTCACTCACAGAGAAGGTGCAGTGAGGTAAATCTAGCCATGTATCAATCAGAGGCCAGACTAACCTCCTTGTTCCAATAAGAACAATAACTTAGGTGCACCATTTCTTATTGGAGCCCTCCGTGAAGTCCTGCCTGAAATACTCCTTGATGTAAAGCCACCCCCTTCGTTGATTTTAATTCCCTGAAGCCAACCCTGTAAGCCGTGTCGTCAGTCACCCCTCCCTCCGTCAGAGCAACGGCAGACAATCGTTCCGCGCCTTTTTTCTGTGTGGACGCCATACCAAGGCAAGCATGGAGGCCGCTCAGCTCACATTGGCAATTAGGAGCACATTAAACACCACACGCATTATCCAGCAGTATATGCAGCACCAGAACCTGGCAAAGCGATACCGGGTGAGGAGGCGACGTCAGCGCCGTCACGTGAGTGATCAGGACATGGACACAGATTTCTCTGAAAGCATGGGCCCTGCCAACACATGCATCATGGTGCTAATGGGGCAGGTTCATGGTGTGGAACGCCAATTCTGGGCTCGGGAAACAAGCACAGACTGGTGGGACCGCATAGTGTTGCAGGTCTGGGACAATTCCCAGTGGCTGCGAAACTTTCGCATGCGTAAGGGCACTTTCATGGAACTTTGTGAGTTGCTTTCCCCTGCCCTGAGGCGCATGAATACCAAGATGAGAGCAGCCCTCACAGTTGAGAAGCGAGTGGCAATAGCACTGTGGAAGCTTGCAACGCCAGACAGCTACCGGTCAGTTGGGAATCAATTTGGAGTGGGCAAATCTACTGTTGGGGCTGCTGTGATGCAAGTAGCCAACGCAATCAAAGATCTGCTGATATCGAGGGTAGTGACCCTGGGAAATGTGCAGGTCATAGTGGATGGCTTTGCTACAATGGGATTCCTTAACTGTGGTGGGGCCATAGACGGAACCCATATCCCTATCTTGGCACCGGAGCACCAAGCCGCCGAGTACATAAACCGCAAGGGGTACTTTTCGATAGTGCTGCAAGCTCTGGTGGATCACAAGGGACGTTTCACCAACATCAACGTGGGATGGCCGGGAAAGGTGCATGATGCTCGCATCTTCAGGAACTCTGGTCTGTTTCAAAAGCTGCAGGAAGGGACTTTATTCCCAGACCAGAAAATAACTGTTAGGGATGTTGAAATGCCTATATGTATCCTTGGGGACCCAGCCTACCCCTTAATGCCATGGTTCATGAAGCCGTACACAGGCAGCCTGGACAGTAGTCAGGAGCTGTTCAACTACAGGCTGAGCAAGTGCAGAATGGTGGTAGAATGTGCATTTGGACGTTTAAAGGCGCGCTGGCGCAGTTTACTGACTCGCTTAGACCTCAGCAAAACCAATATTCCCACTGTTATTACTGCTTGCTGTGTGCTCCACAATATCTGTGAGAGTAAGGGGGAGACATTTATGGCAGGGTGGGAGGTTGAGGCAAATCGCCTGGCTGCTGGTTACGCGCAGCCAGACACCAGGGCGGTTAGAAGAGCACAGGAGGGCGTGGTACGCATCAGAGAAGCTTTGAAAACCAGTTTCATGACTGGCCAGGCCACGGTGTGAAAGTTCTGTTTGTTTCTCCTTGATGAAACCCCCCGCCCCTTGGTTCACTCTACTTCCCTGTAAGCTAACCACCCTCCCCTCCTCCCTTCCATCACCGCTTGCAGAGGCAATAAAGTCATTGTTGCTTCACATTCATGCATTCTTTATTCATTCATCACACAAATAGGGGGATGACTACCAAGGTAGCCCAGGAGGGGTAGTGGAGGAGGGAAGGAAAATGCCACACAGCACTTTAAAAGTTTACAACTTTAAAAATTTATTGAATGCCAGCCTTCTTTTTTTTGGGTAATCCTCTGTGGCGCAGTGTCTGGTTGGCCGGTGGCCCCCCCACCGCGTTCTTGGGCGTCTGGGTGTGGAGGCTATGGAACTTGGGGAGGAGGGCGGTTGGTTACACAGGGGCTGTAGTGGCCGTCTGTGCTCCAGCTGCCTTTGCTGCAGCTCAGCCATACACTGGAGCATACTGGTTTGGTCCTCCAGCAGCCTCAGCATTGCATCCTGCCTCCTCTCATCACGCTGCCGCCACATTTGAGCTTCAGCCCTGTCTTCAGCCCGCCACTTACTCTCTTCAGCCCGCCACCTCTCCTCCCGGTCATTTTGTGCTTTCCTGCACTCTGACATTATTTGCCTCCACGCATTCGTCTGTGCTCTGTCAGTGTCGGAGGACAGCATGAGCTCAGAGAACATTTCATCTCGAGTGCGTTTTTTTTTTCTTTCTAATCTTTACTAGCCTCTGGGAAGGAGAAGATCCTGTGATCGTTGAAACACATGCAGCTGATGGAGAAAAAAAAAAGGGACAGCGGTATCTAAAAAGACACATTTTATAAAACAGTGGCTACACTCTTTCAGGGTAAACCTTGCTGTTAACATTACATACATAGCACATGTGCTTTCGTTACAAGGTCGCATTTTGCCTCCCCCCACCACGTGGCTACCCCCTCAACCCTCCCCCCTCCCCGTAGCTAACAGCGGGGAACATTTCTGTTTAGCCACAGGTAAACAGCCCAGCAGGAACGGGCTCCTCTGAGTGTCCTCTGAAGAAAAGCACTCTCTTTCAACCAGGTGACCATGAATTATATCTCACTCTCCTGAGGATAACACAGAGAGATAAAGAACGGATGTTGTTTGAACGCCAGCAAACATACACTGCAATGCTTTGTTGTACAATGATTCCCGAGTACGTGTTACTGGCCTGGAGTGGTAAAGTGTCCTACCATGAAGGACGCAATAGGGCTGCCCTCCCCAGAAACCTTTTGCAAAGGCTTTGGGAGTACATCCAGGAGAGCCGCAAATGCCAGGGCAAAGTAATCCTTTCACATGCTTGCTTTTAAACCATGTATAGTATTTTAAAAGGTACACTCACCGGAGGTACCTTCTCCACCTGCCGGGTCCGGGAAGCAGCCTTGGGTGGGTTCAGGGGGTACTGGCTCCAGGTCCAGGGTGAGAAACAGTTCCTGGCTGTCGGGAAAACCGGTTTCTCCGCTTGCTTGCTGCGAGCTATCTACAACCTCCTCCTCATCATCATCTTCTTTGTCCCCAAAACCTGCTTCCGTGTTGCCTCCATCTCCATTGAAGGAGTCAAACAACACGGCTGGGGTAGTGGTGGCTGAATCCCCTAAAATGGCATGCAGCTCATCATAGAAGCGGCATGTTTGGGGCTCTGACCCGGAGCGGCCATTCCCCTCTCTGGTTTTCTGGTAGGCTTGCCTCAGCTCCTTAAGTTTCACGCGGCACTGCTTCGGGTCCCTGTTATGGCCTCTGTCCTTCATGCCCTGGGAGATTTTGACAAAGGTTTTGGCATTTCGAAAACTGGAACGGAGTTCTGATAGCACGGATTCCTCTCCCCAAACAGTGATCAGATCCCGTACCTCCCGTTCGGTCCATGCTGGAGCTCTTTTGCAATTCTGGGACTCCATCATGGTCACCTCTGCTGATGAGCTCTGCATGGTCACCTGCAGCTTGCCACGCTGGCCAAACAGGAAATGAGATTCAAAAGTTCGCGGTTCTTTCCTGTCTACCTGGCCAGTGCATCTGAGTTGAGAGTGCTGTCCAGAGCGGTCACAATGGAGCACTCTAGGATAGCTCCCGGAGGCCAATACCGTCGAATTGTGTCCACAGTACCCCAAATTCGAGCCGGCAAGGCCGATTTAAGCGCTAATCCACTTGTCAGGGGTGGAGTAAGGAAATCGATTTTAAGAGCCCTTTAAGTCAAAATAAAGGGCTTCATCGTGTGGACGGGTGCAGGTTTACATCGATTTAACGCTGCTAAATTCGACCTAAAGTCCTAGTGTAGACCAGGGCTTAGTATCCCTTCCACCTTTTGTCTCTCTTGTCCAGTTACACTGTAAATGACTCAGGGCAGGGATTGTCCCTCACTGGGTTTTGTGCAGGGCACCTCGAGGTCAGATCTCATCTGGGATTTGTAGGCGCTGCTGGGACGCAAATAACCATAATAAACACTGTGATACAATCAGTAATAACAGCCACAGCTTGTAGCTCCCCCTTCTCCAGCCTGCAGGCAGTACTCTCACATAGACTGGCCGGCCGCTCCTGTGAGTCAAACCTCATTTGTCATTTAATAGCTTCCAGTCTGCAGAGAGTTCCTTTATTTCATGGTGGGAGCTGGGTTTGAAAAGGATTCAGCTGCTCAGAGAAAACTTTCCCACATCAGACAATTTTAAAATCTTCATCTCTTGCCTTTCCTGCCAGGCTGGAGTCTCATTAATTTGTACGGCATCTTTCATGGAATGAAGGCTACACACAGCTGAATAACACAGTTACACCTGTCTCGGGCAACTTGTGATGCCATTTCCCTGTAATTAAAATCCAAAGTTATTCCCATTAGACTGGAAAACAACTCGGTACCTTGTACTCTTGGGCAGCTTCCTGTATGGGAACCACTGTGTGAGTGCGGTGAGCCTGGGATCTGTCGCACACCACACAGATGGGGGTTTGATCCTCTTCACAGAACAGTTTCAGAGCCTCCTGGTGTTCCCCACACACCCCGCCCCCTCCTGCTCCCTTCGCTGCCTGGAAACTCAGCTGCTTGGCGATTTCTACCACATTTGCCAGCTGCCTGTTGGGCCTGAGGTTTCTCTGTTGCACAGTTTCTCTGCACTGAGGGCAGGAGGCGGCTGTGTCGGGTCCCTCCCAGCACTGGGCGATGCAGGCTCGGCAGAGATTGTGCCCACACTCCAGAGTGACAGGGTGTGTGAAATACTCCAGACAGACGGGACATGTCGCTTCCTCCTGGAGACTTTCCACGGGGCTCTCCGCAGCCATGGCTCCCTCCGGGCAGTGGGACAGGCTTTGTTTCAATTTCCTGAGTTCACACTATGCCCCGCTTGCAGCAGCAAGGGGGTGTTTCCCTTCTGGAATTGACTCAGGCTGTTCGTTCAGGGGGAAGGGGCCCACCATGGAGGTTGTGGTGAAAAATGTACCACTAGGGCTCTGGTCCTGAAATCAGCCCCTGTGCTGATGGGGCGGTTCACTGAGGCATCCCCCTGTGAGGATGAGCCTGGAGGAGCAGCGTCTGTGTGTCTAGGAAGTGATAGTCAGACTTGGTGGAATTCTTCTTTTTATATAATATACAATTTTGACAGATAATGTTTATTTTAAACAATTTTTATATTTATTGATTTAAACGTTCACAGTTGCACAAAAATCTGGGTTTCAGCATTTCATTCCAATTGTTATCAATTACAATTTTCACAGCTGTTGGAAATTATGGGAGGATCAGACAATATTTTGGTCAGACCAGAACTATTTAATGACACTGGACACTGAGATTCAAAAAGTTGAAGCTTTATAACCTTTAAAATTGTCTTTGAGCAGGTAAAACTCCCCCAGCAGCTCCCCTTGTGAGTGCAATAACCCAATTCCTCCCCCTCCACCACATGGACAGAGGGCGAGAGTCCATCTCATGGCGCCTCAGGAGCTGGTCTGGAATGTGCTGGGATCTCAGTCTGGGCCCTAGTGGGACAGGTGACCCTAAATCATGCAACCACACCCAGCAGAGAGACCAGCAGTGTTTCCCCCAGGAATTGAAATTAGGGGGGGGTGTTGGAATATTCTAGGGGGGGGTGAGAGCCGATGAGGGCTGAGACCGTGAGGCCAAAGGTGGGCTGTATAGCACCATAGTAGAAACTGAAGAATGTGTCACTACCATTTTATTAGATTTAACTCACGTTTTAAAATCATCACAAAAATTAAAGTTCGCTACTCAAGCCTACGATGAAGCACTACATCTACACCCGTCTTGTTTTCTTGTTGTAATTTGGTACTCTTTGGTGTCTTGTGTGTCCGTTACTTCCAGTCCTTCATGATATGCTCATGATCAGGCAAAAGGCGACTCCCTTCAGAACACGAAATTCTATAAAATGAGGAAAAAATATGCTCAACTGTAGCTATTGTGACTGGGAGTAGCAAGAGATGAATCCCTACTTTCATCCCAGGAAACACAGCACAAAGATTGGGTCCAACCACTAGTAATGATAAAGAAGTTGAAGTTAAATCTTCATTCGTTCGTCATATGATATTCCACTCTATGTTCAAAATTGTCTATTCTGACCTGATCACATGGCAGCCCCATTGCTGGGAGTGCCTCACTCCACTCAACTGTTGGTGTTTTATAAGACAGGCATCTGTAAAAGCTACGTGGAGGTTGAATAGAATCCAGAAATCTCTATTGTAGATTTGTAAGAATCAAGTCTGTGTACTTTTTCAGCTGGCTTAACAAACACTTCTTGTCCTCTTCACTTATGGAATCAATATAAGTACCTTCATTAGTCAACTTCTGGACTGAAGTCTTTGCTTCTTGGAGTACATTTTCAATGGATATCTCTGATTGATCCAAGGATCGCTTCTATTGCTGGACAGAGATCTACTACTGTTGTAGTAGATGCCTGGATGACATAGTTTAATGACTCAAGTGATTTCAACTGTAGACTTACAGGAGAGAGAATGGCGAGAGTCTTTTCTGAACTTAGTAACAAAAGTAGTCCACCAGCCTCACGACTTAGATCTGTCCTATCTAGGTGGATACATTCCAAAGCCTGTAATAACGGTTGCAGTAATTGTAAGAAAACTGCCAAGAATCATTCATGATAATGCCAGCAGATTTCCCCAGGCTGGATTAATTTGAACTTCAATCCCACTGTATCTTCTATTTGTTTCCAAAATGTTCGGTCCTTTTGGACTCTTGCTGAAAAAAGAGTATAAATAAGGCACTAAATTTGTGGCTTTTTAATGTCTTTTGAAGATTCTGCAGCTTTTACTAGTGCTAGCTGGAGTAGATGGCCTCTACAGTGTGTATAGGAAAGGTTAGGGTTACACTTTTCCCTGAGCAAAGCTTGTATTCCACTATGTCTTCCAGAGAAGTTTGTAGCTCCATCAAGTGCACAAGCAGCCATCTGCCTTGGCAAAACTTTTGTGTTGGGGGAGGGGAGCACCTGCGAACAACAAAAAATCCATTACAATTTGTAGTGATAAACACCCATTTTTTCATGGTCTGTGTGTATAAAAACATCTTCTGTATTTTCCACAGTATGCATCCGATGAAGCGAGCTGTAGCTCACGAAAGCTTATGATCAAATAAATTGGTTAGTCTCTAAGGTGCCACAAGTCCTCCTTTTCTTTTTGCGAATACAGACTAACACGGCTGTTACTCTGAAACAAAAGTTTTGTTGTTCAATTGCAAGTGTAGACTAAGCTACCGTCCCTGAACTCTCTCTTGCCCGCAGTGAGGGCAATCTGCAGGCAGGCCGTACAGTACAGACTGGCACTGCGTGATGGCACAGCTGAGATTCAATTCCATGCAGAGAACGACATTAAAAAAAACTTCCGGTGGCGAAGTCAAGGGTGCAAACACTGTGAAGTGCCAGAATTAAGGTGCCTGAACAGCCAGATCACCAGCCTCAAGAGGCGACAGCTCAGGTTGGAGCATCAGAGGCAGGATTTTTAGTGCAGTCACAGTAGCTTTATTGCTCTGTGGGCTCCGTGGGAGTGTTGACATTGACTTCAATAGAAGCAGGATCGAGCCCTATATAGGCAATAGAATTGAAGGGCTTGGGACCAACTGCTAGAAAGGTCCAGGTGCTGCACCTTGGTTTTTGCTGCATTGTTTTCCCAGAAGCCATCGGTGTCCAGACTTTTCAACTTACCCTGACAAGCTGGAGTTGATCTCATTTTGAAGGTACAGCCCGAGCGTCTCTGTTTTGATGGCACAGTCTGGGGACCCATTGTCAGGCTGTAGTTGGAGTCAGGTTTTATCTCTGACCCCTGCCCCTTCTGGTTTGTGCAGCTGTAGCCGTGGATCTCAGCATGCTCGGAGCTGCACGCCTCCGGGGGGGCAACGTCTAGGGCACGTTCCCCTCTGGGAGCCCCATGACCCACTCCTTGGGGGCACACAGATCCCAGAGCTCTTCGGCTCGGTTGGAGGAATTTACGGTGTCTGCCCTGACTCGGAAAGCTGCTCGTCTCTTCAGATACCTGCTAAGAGCATCCCGACCGCAAACAGCAAGCATTGCTGATGTCTGGCTGACAGGCCAGAGAGCCCATCTAGTGGGTTATAAAGAATGAGACATGGGAGGAGCACAGATATGAGGAGAAGTTCACAGCAGGGTGGTTTTATCAGGGGTTCATGGGCGCACTGACACCCCCAAAACCCTGCAGTGGTGTCTTCTGACCCACAGGGCTGGGCCTGGCTCCCTGCTGTGGGTGTTATGACCTGGGGGCTCTGACCACTTGCAGCAACACCTTCCACCTCTGCACTGTGACCCTAAACCCAGCCTGGTGCAAACAGGGGAGGGGCTGTAGAGTGAGCCTGCCCCTCACTCAGCCTGCAATGGGGAGCCAGGCACAGCCCCACGGGACAGGACACACCACTACAGATGAGTGTGGGCTGGGCTCACTCTCCAGCTCTGGCCTGCCCTCGGCACTTGGCTGGGATTAGGGCTGCGGGGGTGAGGCAGAGGGTGCTGTTGTGTGTGGTCTGAGGAGAAGGAGGAGGAAGAGGCAGAGCGAAGTGGCAGTTAGGGAAGCCCATTTGTGCAAAGCCATCCACAACGTCACGCCACGTTGCCCAGAGTCGCAGACTTTCAGAGTCCAACAGTTGACTTTCCTGCTCCGAACGGGTTAATGACCAATCGGTAGCAGTCTGGAGTAGCCAGCTTCCACAGTGCAATCGCCGCGTGCTTCTCCACCGGCAGGGCAGCTCTCATTCTCTCGTGACCCAGGGCTGCAGGATGGGGCCCAGGGGGGGTCTATGCCCACAATGAGCCAGTGCAGCAAGGCCCTTCGGAGGCACATTCTGCAGTCTCCAGGGCAGAAGCAGGTACAGAGCTGAGCTCCCATTTTCAGCACATGAAGCTCCATCCTCCAGTTCTGAAACTTTGAGCCCATACGTTTATTCTATATGGAAAGAGACTCTGCCAGTCCTAGCTCTTGCTGTGCTGTTTTCTGCTGCTGGGACACTTCCCCTCTTCTCACAAACACCCTCCCTGCAGAAGTGCCGGGGCTGCAGCTCCCCACACACTAGAGATGGTTTCCTTTAACCCTTCAGCTGCTGCAGATACTAGCTCACCCACCTCCCACTCTGGAGCACAAAGGGCCAGAGTCTTGGGCCAGGCTGAGCTGCTTTTTCAGCAGGACCTGAAGGGAAGGGACAAGGGCAGAGTCCAGTGGAGACATTTTCAGCCCCATCTGGGCCTGATCTGGACAGTAAAACCCTGCAAAAATTCCTGCTCCAGAACAAACCTTGAAAAGGCCCTCCCCCGCCACACCATTCTCAAAGACCTGAGGAAACTTCTAGACTGGGGGGAGGGGAGCGCTTTTGTTAAATTGGAGCTAAAGGTTGCAGGGGAGAGAAGTGTCACTGGAAGGGAAAACTCCCCGTACTAAGGGAATTCTGTAGTTTTCTCAAAACCCACCAAGGTTCAGAAGCCTGGAGATTCTAAGTTAAGGCGACACTTTCTAAACAAATCCCAACATTGGACAGTCTGCCAATGCACAGTTAGGTCACCAAACAACCCAGGTTCTGTCCTGTGCCAGCACCAACCTCTCACCCCCACCCCAATGGACCATCTGTATGTCCTGTGCAAGTTTATGGGGGAGGACTCTATAAATGAGTGTTTGCTCATGGAGTTTCCAGGTTGGTGGGAGTTCGAACAGGCCCACAGCCACAGGCCAGGTCTGCACTTGAAAATTAGGTCGACCCAGGGGTCGATCCACACCCCTGAGAGATGGCGCTAAGCCAACCTAGCCCCCGGCGAAGACAGCGCTAGGTCCATGGTAGATTGCTTCTGTCGACCTCG